CCTGTTAATATTCTTGAGCTCTGTCCTCGATTTTATGTAAACCCATATCTGCGGCACTCGGACTTGTTTATTTCGACTACTCTTGGACCGGTGGCTGGCGAGGAAGGCGCAGCTGTACAAGGAATAGTTGATAAAGAGAATATCAGTGCCGTTGTCCATAATGGTCACTTGTTCAAGTTGTGAACACAAAAATATCCTGAATAGACGAAAGCCTACGAACAGCTTGAACGGGCGGTGCGCGACATGCACAAGTAGGCATACTGGTACATAAGCGCCATGGATTCCATCCCTGTGATCGCCCAATACCTGTATAATATCTCTGATCCCTGATATATTCACAGCGTGTTGTAGCAAGTTGAAGATACAGGAAGTACACAATAGTACGGAAGGTGACGACACTCAGTGTTACAAGTACAAACGCTACGCCCACTTACGATCAAGGTCACAATGTACGGCGCTTAGGGTGTTTCCTGATGTTTCTATCCATCTCCGTATATTCGTAGGGTAATCTAGATATTGAGTCTGACATGTATATAAGGAGCTCGTACTGCTCAATAACAAGCCAGACTCGAGCTGGTCTTTCCTCACTCACTTTCCTCTCGTCTGTCTCCTCAGCACTGTCGTAGCTCAGTCCAGTTGGATTGTTAGTTGCTGACATTAGCTCGAGTCTCCACCAACTGCCCTACAACGATCCTCGTCACTCCTACATCAACCATCACCCATCTCCACACGACGATCCACCCTATACACACATCCAACTCTCACCCTAAATCTTAACCCTACCGAACTCTACCGCATCAAGACCCGGACCCCTGGAACCTTTTTCCGTGCATTTGCACAACTTTTACCATACCACATCCCCGAAGTCACCTCTGTAATCACTAGCCCTTAGGCGGCTAGACAGAGCTCCGTCCAATTGGAATCGTACACTGCCCTACCATAGGTGGTGTTAAACGCTTTGCGCAGCGCAAGCGGATATTCCTGAGTACGACGTGGCAACCGGTTGCGACCGGGCGTCGGAAAAGTGATAGCAGTTAGATCGACGATCCCTTTGAGGGCATCGGACCGAAGAGACACAATTGCTCTTTGGGCTGCTACAGTATCTCTAGAACTGTATTACAATTAGTGTTTCGGTTCTTGTTCGGAAATTTCCATCTTTGGCAAATTCTACCCCTGATCTGGTTGTTACAACACGATTAGTCCCAGGGCTTGCTGCAACCAGCTCCATGGACCCAACACCATATGACCACGCCCTCTTGCGAATGTAGAGGACATACACATCGAGAACTAGAGAGGAGATCTATCTACATACGCGGCAATAATGTACGGTACTGCGTGCAACAGCCGTGTCCGCACTCTCCGGATAATAGCAATCGTTGTCCTCGGTGTAGGGAAGGACTACGCGGAGAACTACTACCGAGAGTTCCCACAGGAGCACCTTCAGAATCCCTCGCAGTCCCGCAACCCATAGCATCTGGTTCAGAATCCAGAACCAGACGAGACACTCTCGAATCAGTCACTGACCATCTTCACTCAATCGCCCTCGGAGAATCCGAAGCACCACCAGAGGGTCCACCAGACCCCGTGGAAGAAGCAGTAGAAGATTCCAAAGCTTTGAACTCACCTTTCCGTCGTTCTCCCACTCCACCCTCGCCTCCATCTGATCCCGGCGCGATGGCCGAGAACCAAGACAATGCCGCGCTCATAAATGGAAGCGTGATGAAGCCCGATGCCTTCGATGGCATGAAGTCCAAGTACATCGCTTGGAAGACACAGATGAAACTCTACGTAGTTACGCAAAGGAAGCGGCTACCCGAGCAATTTGACAGGGTCTTAATGATCTTGCCCTACATGAAAGGAGGCCATGCTGGCGAATACGTCGCCACATACATGAAAAAAATACGACACCGATGGAGACACGGTGATCCAGACGACGAATGAACTATGGACAGATTTGAATAAACATTTCCTAATCGACGAGCAAGCTGAAGCGTACGATAGGCTGCAAGCAATGCAAATGGGAGTGCTATCCATGCAGGAGTTCTTCTTGAAGTTTGAATTATGCGCCTTCCAGGCGAACATTCACGACTTTGAGGCACATTTCCAGAAGTTGAAATCGCTTCTAGAAAAAGCACTCCGGGCCGACATCATTCGGCTTCTTTACAATTCATCAGAAGAACTTCCCGCTACGTACGCACTCTACAAACAACGGGTCGCACGCATTGACCTGAATCAGCAGCAGTACCGTCGGCGAAACCCACAGTCCCAGCGGCAAGGACAATTTCAACCTCGGCAGTAGCAGGCACAAAGTACGCCACAAGCACAGGCTAATGTAGCCACGCCCACTGCAAGCGCCCCGGTTCAGACACGTCGCGATGGGACAGGTGTCACATTTGGCGGCAGAGGACAGCCAATGGAGCTAGATCAGGCACGACGCTTGGGTCTTTGCTTCCGATGCAGAGAAAAGGGACATCTCTCGCGCAATTGCCCCAATCAGCAACAAGCTCAACAAGTACAAGCCGCAGAGACCCCGGTAGTTCCCACTACCAACGTGTTCACACCTCTCGCATCGCTCCAAGAAGCTCCTGCCGCGACGGCAGAACTATTCGACTGGAAAACGGCAATTCGCAAAGAAATTCGCACGGCCATGAAGGGTTTTGCAAGCGGTCAGCCGGGTGCATAGCCGAGTTGACCGAAAAGAATTTCACGAACTATCTGTGTTCTTGGTTTGGAGTTCCCATGTACATACAAAAGAAAGGGGCGTCCGCAGAGCGGCGCGGAGAGGTTCAACCCTCTTGCTTAATTCCCCCCAATAAAAAATTATTTTCTACTCCAGAATCACAGACTGAATCTACACAGTGGCAACGCCACACTCCTTGGACGGCGGCTTGGATCCACCAGTGGATAATCAACAAAGAAGCCGCAGCGCTTAGATTGTTGACTGAATGGATACACTCAAAGAAGAGTGTTGACGCCTCAGAAGCCTGCATGAGCCAAATCAAGCAGATGAAAGAAGAAAAAGCAATAGACTTCTTGAACGAACTAAGAAAGCAGCCTCGGTTTATTTGAGGAAGGAAAGGGACTCAGATGGACGTCCCAATAGTAGTTACTACCCTGGACACGCAACAACGCCTATCAGTCAAGGCGCCATTAGACACAGGATGCACTGAATCATCTATTGATGCGCAGTTTGTCCGCGATAACAACATCGCTACAAAGAAACTGCCATCACCAATTCCTGTCTACAACGCAGACGGTACACATAATGCTGGCGGCGCTATTACCGACTTTGTTGAGCTAAGGGTAGAAATTCAGAATCATGTTGAACGGCTCCCTTTTGCCGTTACCAACCTAGGAAAGATACCGATCTTCCTCAGATATGAGTGGCTCCAGATTCATAATCCATCTATCGATTGGCAGGAACGAATCATAAAGTTTGATCGGTGTCCGGTTACCTGCAAATACACCGCCTGGTTAATTGATATTGATTCCGACCACGAAGAACCCAGTGATCCGGAGGCTCGCCTAGAAGAAGGGGATAGAATCTTTATTCTAGACCACGAAACCTACTTTGCTACGGGAACAGCGCGTATTCGCACTACGGCCACTGATCTAGCCATTAAGGAAAGTCTAAAACACGAGGCTAAGACGTTTGAGAACACTGTCCCAAGTCACTATCGCGACTACTCCGATGTGTTTAGCAAAGAAGACTTTGATTCCTTACTCCAAAAACGACCCTGGGACCACGCGATAGAACTTACACCAGGCGCGCAACCGATCAGCTGCAAAGTTTACCCGATTTCTGTAAATGAACAAAAAGAACTTGATGAGCTCATAGAAGAGAACCTCCGAACCGGAAGAATCCAACCATCAAAATCCCTGTGGGCTTCTCCATTCTTCTTTGTCAAGAAAAAAGATGGACGACTTCGATCCGTACAAGACTATCGAAAGCTGAATGAGCTTACGATTAAAAACCGCTACCTACTTCTCTTGATACAAGAACTAGTGGACAAGCTGAAGCAGGCGCGGTATTTTACGAAACTAGACGTCCGATGGGGATACAACAACATCCGCATCAAAGAAGGAGACAAAGAGAAGGCAGTGTTCCTAACGAATCGAGGACTATTTGAACCACTCGTCATGTTTTTTGGCCTTACCAATTCCCCGGCTACATTCCAAACCATGATGAATGATATATTCCGAGATCTCATCAGTCAAGGACACGTGGTAGTCTATCTAGACGATATCATGATCTTCACTCAAGATTTAAAAGAACACCGTCGGATCACGCGGCAAGTTCTTCAGATCTTAAGAGAACACAAACTTTATCTGGAACCAGAAAAGTGCAAGTTCGAGAAGTCAGAAATAGAATATCTTGGCATGATAGTAGGAAAGGAGGTTGTACGCATGGACCCAGTCAAAATAGAAGGAGTAGTCAACTGGCCAAGACCCAAATGCAAACGCGACATTCAAGCATTTCTCAGTTTTACCAACTTCTACCAAAGGTTCATCCGAGACTACGGCAAAATAGCAAAGCCGCTCAGTTCACTAATGGGCAACGCTACCTTTGAATGGACCGTAGAACAAGAAGTAGCATTCACAAGTCTAAAGAATGCTCTATGCACAGCACCAGTGCTGGCCATACCCAATGACAACGACCTCTACCAAGTGGAATGTGATGCGTCGGACTTTGCCATAGGATCAGAGTTAGCCCAGAAACAAGACGACAAATGGAAGCCCGTCGCTTATCTGTCCAAAGCCATGACAGCTGCCAAAAGAAATTACGAGATTTACGATAAGGAACTTCTCGCAATCATGACTAGTCTTGATGAATGGCGTTAGTACCTCATGGGCGCCATACATCCGTTTGAAATATGGACGGATCACAAGAACCTAGAATACTTCCGAAAGCCGCAGAAACTCAATCGGCGTCAGATCCGATGGGTAATGGAATTGGCCGAATATCGATACTCGCTGCATCACAAACCCGGGAAAACTAATGGCAAGGTGGACGGACTGTCCCGACAAAAGCGACACAATGCAGGGAAAGAAGACAATTCTGATATCGTACTATTAAAACCAGAACATTTTCGTGCTTTAGTTCATAGTACTATATTTAGTTTAGAAGGAATCAACCAGGACTGGGTTGTGGAAATTAAAAAATACAAAAAGAACCAAGATTCGCTAGTTACCGTAGCTCTACAGAACAAGGACAAAGACTGGAGCAAAGATAGTACTGGACTCATGACGTGGAAGAACTGTATTTACGTACCAGTAAATAGGAAACTCCGTGAGCAGATCATCGCCCATCACCATGATACTCTGTTGGCCGGACACTCCGGTCAATACAAAACACACGAAATGGTCACACGCAACTATTGGTGGCCTAGAATTTGAGAAGACATTTGGAAATACGTGGCTGGATGCGAGAAGTGCCAGAAAACCAAGGTTCACACAACACGACCTACCGGACTTCTATTTCCGAACAAAATTCCTTCACGACCCTGGGAAGTAATCTCCGTGGACAAGATAGGCGTATTACCCGATTTGTTTGGGTACAATGCCATTCTCGTAATAGTCTGCATGTACTCTAAGCAGATAATCGCGATACCCAGCACTATTGAGCTTAACGCTGAAGGATGGGCAAAGGCACTTTGAGATAACGTAATCGCACATCACGGATTACCCCGAAAGGTCATTAGCGACAGAGGAACTGAATTCAAGAATCAGTTCATCTCCGAATTATATTGATCTCTCAGAATCGAAGCCAACCCGTCAACCGCGTATCACCCCCAGACAGAAGGACAAACGGAATGCATCAATCGCGAGATAGAGCAATACCTTCGACTATTCATCAATTACCGACAGGCCGATTGGGCCGAATGGCTGCCCCTCGCAGCATTTTCGTACAACAACAAGGTTCACTCATCCACCGGATATACCCCCTTCTTTGTCAATAAAGGGTACCACCCTTACGAAGGAACTCAACCGGTACGAGAAGGACTAAACGAAAACGTCCAACAGTTTGTTGATTGAATGAGTCAAGTACGCGAAGATACCAGTGCGGCTATAGGATTAGCACAGGAATCTATGAAATGATTCTACGATAGGAAAAGGAAGGACGGACCAGAGTACAAGGTTGGGGATAAAATTTGGCTAGAGTGAGTAAACATTTGAACCGACAGACCAATGAAAAAGCTTGACGATAAGTGATACGGACCTTTCAAGGTCAAACGCAAAGTCGGCGCCTCTGCTTACGAATTGAAACTTCCCTGTCAATGGAAACAACACCCCGTGTTCAACGAGAGTCTCCTTAGTCCTTTCAAAGAACCTGTATATCCCTCGCAGCGACGCGAACCGATAGTCCCTGACCTCGTAAATGGCGAGGAGGAATGGGAAGTCGAAGATATCCTTGACTCCCGCCATGATCAGAATGGGAATCTTGAGTACCAGGTTCTCTGGAAGAATAGCCCCCACGGTGATCGCCGTTCCTGGGAATCACGAGCGAACTTGACCAATTGTCAAGAACTCCTTCAGGAGTTCCATGCAAGACATCCCGATCAACCCGCGCCTATGACAATTCGAATCCCCCCCTATTAACACGACCTGTTCACATACTCACGCGTGATACCACTCTTTTGGTACAAAGAATGGGCGGGATTCTTCCGAAATAAGGATCCGAAGAAGCTGCTGGCCTCGATCTCTATGCAGCCGAGAGCGTTAAAATACCGGCACGAGATCGCAAGATTGTTAGTACCGGCATAGCAATGCATGCCCCTTACGGGACCTATGCGCGAATTGCGCCACGGAGTGGATTAGCAGTCAAAGGGATAGACATTGGCGCTGGGGTCGTAGACCGAGATTATACCGGAGAAGTACGCGTGGTGATGATCAATACCACCAATCAACCTTTCCAGGTACACGTCGGTGATCGAATTGCGCAAGTCATCATGGAACGCATTGCGTCATGCAATATCGAGGAGGTTTCCAGTTTGTCAGAAACTCAGCGTGGTAAAAAGAGTTTTGGTTCTACTGGAAAATAATCGTGAGGACACGATTCTAGACGGGGGGGTAATGTCATGAATATTACATAGTCCAGATGGTTCTCCCGGATTCCACAGTATTCTTTTACTTTCTATCCACCTCTGTATATTCATAGGATAATCTAGATATTGAGTCTGACATGTATATAAGGAGCTCGTACTGCTCAATAATAAGCCAGACTCGAGCTGGTCTTTCCTCACTCACTTTCCTCTCGTCTGTCTCCTCAGCACTGTCGTAGCTCAGTCCAGTTGGATTGTTAGTTGCTGACAGTCCGGGTATGTGCCCTGTACCGTCTCATAAGTGATGATTCTCATGTTCAAGCCAGAACTCGCGCACGAATGTCAAAGTCGAGTTAACTAACGCCATCGAAGAGCTAACCAAGACGGTGAACAAGTACACAAAACTCAGCGGACCTAATATATCACCTGAGCTGGAAACGGCGGCCAACGAAATGCTCTCGTGAGTCTAGTGCTGGTGGTATTGGTCGTGGATGCTTACATGGCACAGATCGTGGGAGGCAATCAACGACGAGGCCGTGGAAATCAAGTCGCGGCGCGAGTCATTGAGGATCATTGATAGCAAGAAGGACCATGATGCTGGAAGAGTCGTCGCATTCATGCGA